AATGTTAAGATAATAACTTATTACAGCTGTGTTACTCTCACTGTGAGAGATACACAGTTAGTGATGAATATTATAAAGACTCTGAGAAGTAAGTATTTTAAGAATACTACAGTTCTGTGATCTTGATTTTTTTTTTTTTTTTTTTTTATTTTTTTCATTTTTCTTTTATTTTTTTTTTTCTTTCTCTTTTTTTTTTTATTATGATTTTTTCTTGTTTTTATTTTGTTTTTTATTTTTTGTTTTTTTTTTATATTTTATATTTTTTTTATAATTAAAATTATAAATATTATAATCTATGTTCAGAAAAGTAATAATATTTGATAATACTCTCTATTAAATTTTCAATAAATAAGTACTATATTATAATATTATGTAAGTGAGAAATGATTTCATAATCTCATTTAATGCTATTCTCAATAATAGAATTAGAATGAAAATGTGACTAGAAATTCAAACATATTCTTTATCTGAGACTAGATTTTTATTTGAAAAGTAAATCTGAAATCTTTAATATTTGAAATAATGTGATTTAAAATCAATATAATGAATATAAACTATGATCAGAAGTAATGCTTTTAGATAATATAATAACTGTAAAGTTTAGTTCTGGTCTCAGACACGGTCACACAGTCAGTCTAACTGTTATAAACATGTATAGATTCTTTCACTCTGAAGCTTTATTATGTACATTATTACATACATGTATAAATATTCACTCTGATCACTGATTCTCACACTTTCTCTTTCTTTTCTTCTCTAACATTTTTCTCTTTGTTATATAAGATCTATTAATATTATACTGATCTATTCAGCGTAGGCTTCTTACAAGAGACAAGCATACACCTTTATATATACAGTGATTGTTTTGTAGAGATTAACTCTCATAGAAGAAGTGATTGTATATAAAGAGAAGAATAGAGAGTCTGTAGAGAAGAAGCAGAAGCTCTTATAGAAAAAGCAATTGCATATGAAGAAAAGAACAGAGAGAGAAGATAGAAGCAGACACTTCAGAAAACAGTAAGAGATAAAGCAGAAGCTAGAGTTGAATAGAAGATTAACTTGAATAGAGAGTGAAAGCATGTCATATATACTGTCTCAGTGAAACTTACTATCTACTCTTATCACATTTTTCAAATAAGATTATGATTTTCACTTCTCAATTTAAATTCTTTTTATTGCTTTAAATGACTTTAAATCTCATTTGAGTGTTATTAAAAAGCATTACTTTTAAAAAAATTAAAAATAGTCTAAAAAAAACCATAAAATGTCTAAAAATAGTAACTTTATGCTAAGAATGAAACTAAGTATAACTAAATGAAATCACTTTCTTATTTTTTCTAAGTTATAATCTTATTTTAAGATCTGATAAATAGTCACTTTGCATGTTTTTTTAATGACTAGTCTCAGCGGGATTTACATCAAGAAATGTATGAGATTAGATTAAATGAGATTAAATGTAAAATTCATGATTCTGATAATCAGTCTAGTTCTTACAGTCTTATTCATATCTTTTTACTGCTTTGTTACTTAATAAGCTGTCTTCTGCTTTATTCTCTTCTTCATAATATCTATCTTCTTCTGTTTCTTAAGAATAGTATGTTATAACTTAATATTCTTCTTATAAGTCTACTCATTCTTTTTAACAGCTTGAGAAGTTATTATTTTCTTATATATAATCTATATCTTTGTCAGTGAAAAGATCTGTATTAATAATAAATTTAAAGAATCTAGTAATTTTATTACTCTATTATACTTATAATATCTTCTCTTTTAATTAAGAGCTTACTGTAGCTGTCTGTTCTCTATTAGAAGAATCTCTTTATCAAGAGCAAGATTTTTCTTTAAACAGATTATTCAGTTGAGATTACTAGATATTTAATACTATTAGTATCTGACTTACTTCATTAATTTCTATATATTAATAATAGAAGTAGAGATTCTTGATTAATATTATACATCTGAGAGAGTGTAAGATTATGTTATAAGCTTTTTAAGAATCTATTCTGAATTGAATAAATATAGACTAGTAGTAGTAAATACAGATATAATATTTAAAGATATAACTGCTTTCTTTTATACAGTATTAAATAGCTGTTAAGAAGATCTCTTTATAGTGTATATAAATTTCATTTCAGTTCTCATACATTCATTCAGTTGATTGAACTATGATTTACTTAATAATTCAAATATTTCAATATCTAGTAGCTATAATTAGTATGTAGAATAAGAAGAACAGATAGTAAGTAAAATTTAATAATAATCTATATAATTAATAAATATTATATTAAGATAAGAGAAGTGACTTTATAATATAAAAAGTCTATATTCACACTTTACTTTCTTTTATATAAGAGATTCAAAGATCTTCTTCAATTATATTAATTTACATTTATTATTACTTTATTTATTTTCTGAAGTAGTAAAATAAATCTAATTCTTTTTACTATTAAAATTCTTCAGTTAAGTATATTATATATCTCTTGATTCTTCTTAATATATAAGAGTAGATATAAGTGAAGTTTCATTTGTATAAATTAAAATAAGTAGTATTATAAATTCTTGACTGTTATTCTGACTGATATCTATTATATAATCTGATTTAAGTGAAGTAATTAATATAATATATCTGGGAGTATAAATGAGTTCTATAATAAGTCTACGCTGAAAAGATCAGTATTAGATATAAAACTTATATAATAAAAGTAGAAAATGTTAGAGAAGAAAAGAAGAGAAGATGTGAGAATCAGCAATCAGAATGAATATTTATATATGTATAAGATAAAGCTTTGAAATAGAAGAATAGAAGCTTTATAAGTTTCTAGAAGTATCAGCTAAGAATCAGTGACTGAGAATCAGAGCTTTCAGCAGAAATTTATAAAGTGTAATAAAATAATCTATTAATAATTGAGTATAGTCTGCTACATTAGCTACTCTCTTTCTGAAAGTGAGATTTGAGTGATAGAGCTGTAGATGCATAGTTTCTATCAGTCAAGAGATGCTCTTTCAGATAATACGGAGCTTGAGATTCAGATCAGACAATTATAACTAACTTATTTTACAAGATATTATTAGCTGCAGCTGCAGAGTCTTTTATTAAGAATATTTTCAATCTCTTATTCAAGTTCATTACTCTCTTCTATAATCTCTGATAGTTGTTAATCAGAAGTTAGTTGAGAAGAGAATAAGTTACTGACAGCATAGCAGAGTAAGCTTGTATAAAAGATATTATAAATCTCTAATAAAGTATTAAGATAATAGTTATAACTATCTAAAACTTCTATTACTCTGTATTTAATATAATAATAGTTCAGTGTATAAGATGAGTATATAATCTGTATATTTTTAAAATTTAATTATACAAGATCTTCTATCTTATATTGCTCAGCAGAGTCTTATCAGATATTAACTTAATTCTCTTAATTCTATTTAGTACTTATTATAAAGACTTCTGCTCAGTTATAAGTATCTTAGAGCTTTATTACTATATTATCTGTAATCAGAATTGAACTGTAAGAGTTTAATATAAACTGTATAATCTCTAGAAGATTTAACATCTTCATACAATAATTATATATAAGAAAGAATGAGCTTATATCTGTTGAAACAGCATCTCAGTCATTGAGAATAATTTCAGTATATAGAAGAAGATTATATCAGTTATCTTATAAATAGTTACAGAACTTATAAAGATAATTCTTCATAGTCTGAATTATTTATTCTAATATATTATCAGTCTCAGAGTGATAAGCAGTTGATAAGTAATATATAATCTTAAGAACTTGATAGATTCTTGTTCAGAGATTGCTTATAATTTAGTAATTTTAATTAGATACTATAGATATTAGTAAATTATATATCTAATAGAATAAGCTTTGTAAGAAGACTTCAGTAACTTATTCAGTATTTATCTTATCACAAGATTTTGATATTAAATCTTTACTTAATTAGTCAATGATAATCAGAACATTTTTACAACTCTTACTCTTAGAGAGATTAATAGTAAAGTTAATAACTATATCTTATCAGATTCTATTAGAGATATTGAGTAATTTTAGTAGATCTTTTCTATGATTCTTTCATAAGATGATAGAGAAATAACAGTTACAGTTTCAGATAAAGTGTCTGATACTGTTTAATATTTCAGATCAGTAGAACTTCTAACTCTTATTTAATCTCTTATTAACTAGCATCTTCACAGTATTCAGATTTCTTTTATTAATACATACTCAGAGATATTGATAGAGAACATTAAATTCTTATAAAAGAGATAGTATTTTAAATTCTGAATTTTTTTGATAGATAGTGATAGCTTGCTGAATACACTCTTCAATATTTTCATCTTTATTTAATGTTGTGATGATTATTAATTAATTAATGAAGATGAAAATTTTTAATTTTATCATTTTGATGTGACACACTCACTAGAGGTGAGTGAGTAAGAAGCGGCATGATTACAATACAACTGTTTAAATAATGAGAGATATATTTCATAGATATATTATTATGAATACTGAATGAGAATTATTGAATAATCTGCTCTATCAAGATCCGCTGATGTAAGGAAGGTTAAGTGGGGCAGGGCACTTAGTGAGGTCCTGATCCAGTGGGTGACCTTACCCAGATCCGGGAGCTACAAAGGCGTAAAAAGGATGGATAGGAATAAGTGAACTATGCTCGCCGCGAATTAGAACACTGACTGGTATGAAGTAATATTGGCCGCTGCCGCGGATAATAATAATGTGGATATTCCATTTCAAGAATAATGGTGAACGAATCCACCGAAAAAGACTTATAAAACCACTACAGAAGACCTCCCATCCAACCCGAATCCCATTTGCTCCTTGCAAAAAAGAAAAGGAAAAGAAAAAGAAAACGAAGACCGATGCAATACTGCATATATCCCACACATGGCTCTAGCAAGATCAAATATAAACCATGCTCCGAGCTCAAACACATATGGAAAAACAAAGGAGACAACAAAATTGACATATAAAGCACCCTCACGAATGAGGATGACCATTAGAGGTTATAAATCCGTTGGTGAGCGGGGATTTTGGCCCAGAATCTATATTAGGAGTAATAGATCTTATCCCATTTGGGAGCTGACGTTCTGCCTGGATCGTTTCGGGGCCAGGTTCGGGGTCGACATGCATTCGAAGCGTCCGAATCTCGAGTCCGTGGAGGTGGGGGACATGAGGAACCAAATCCATGAAATCGGAATACTACAGATATTATGAGCATGGAGCAACTAGGGGGAAGCGTACATTGAAATATTTACCTTTACCCAAAATACGTGTTCCATCGCAAAGTATTTGGGTCGGGTTTCGGCATCTTTCCGCATAACATCGACGTAGCTTGTTGTCAAGGGGTTAAACTCGCCTTCCTCGACAAGAATACGACGCGTTACCCTCCAAAGGTTATTTCGCTGGGTAAGAGTGACAAACCGCCTTTCCCAACTAGGATCTGTAATAGGGTTAGAGTCCTCTCAAAGAGCATCACGGGCAAAAGAACGGTATAGTGGGGAATAGACGTACACTGCGAAAGTTGAAGATCGTTCGTAGCAAGAAGTGGTGCAACCAGATAGTTGGGAATCCATCTGTCATCCTTGACCTCGAGATCACAGGAAGGGTCGATTTGCTTGGTTGTTGCTGTTACGAGTGGCATGAATTTTTTAAGCCAGACATGGCTTTTAGAAATAGGGTCATTTGAGCCGACGAAGTTTGCTGCAGCACGAAGTCGGTTAGGTAGTGCGTCGCGACGCCGCTGTTCCTGCTCTTCCTGATCTTTCCGCTGCCTCGCAAGACGAAGTCGTTCTTGCTCTAAGCGCTTTTGACGCTCTTCCTCGGCCTGTCTGATGCGCCTAAGCTCCATCTCCTTTCTTTTGCGTTCTTCCTCCTCAGCCTTTTCACGGGCCAGTCGCGCAGCTGTTTCTGCAGCCTCCCTGGCTTCCTCTGCTTCTCGGGCCTCTTTGGCGGCTTGGGCTTCTCGAAGTTCCTTCTCCTGTCTATCACGCTCAGCCTGGGCAGCAACACGTCTCTCTTCCGCTTCCCGTGCTTCCTTGGCTAGCTCAGCTTCCCTAGCCTCCCTTTCTATAGCCTCCCTTTCCCTAGCCTCCCTTTCCCTAGCCTCCCTTTCCCTAGCCTCCCTTTCCCTAGCCTCCCTTTCCCTAGCCTCCTTTTCTCGGGCTTCCTTTGCCTCTTTAGCTTCCTCTTCTTCCTTTGCCTGCTTCGCCTCCCTTAACTGCTTTTCCCTTGCTTCATTCGCTGCCCTAGCCTCCTTTGCCTGGCTCTCTTCCGCTTCAGGGTCATCAACATCTTCCATAGGGATGTCTTTGATGTGCGGCTCAGATTTCTTTTGGTCTTGTTTGCTAGTAGACGTTCCTGAATTGGGCCTTTGTGCAGCAGAAGACTCTTTATCTACATCGTTATCACCACCACGAGATTTTTCGTGGCCTAACTTGGGGGCATTGTTTTTCTGCCTCGGCTGAGTTTTTGAGGGAGGTACTGGTAGTTCCAGAGGCTTCTGTGTTGCACTGCTATTGGAGGAAGATATACCGTTCTCTTCAGACTGGACGCGTCTCCGCTTCTTTTGATTTTGAGCGTCACGAACACTGTCCTCCTTGTGTTGACGGCCACGGGGCTGTGATGGTTCTGGTGATACACTGTTTCGAGAACGTTTCCGTGGCGGCGCCTCCTTAGATGGCTTTACGTCAGGGTTTGCAGGCTCGTTCCGTTGTTTAATAGTTTCCTCACGGCTAGAAAGTGAATCAGACGACATCAGGCTCTCCCTTCGCTTCACTCGGTCAGGAGGCCGGCCCGCAATGAGGCGCCGACGCTTGATAGGCTCATCCCCGTTGTGAGAGGGTACAGAATCCTTTGGGCATTTACGGTCTGGGCGTGTTTCTTGGTCAGATCCGCCTGCAGACTGGTCAAGATTGCTGCTTTCTCTGTTTGGCGGCTTCAACCGATTCCCCCCGGATGCAACTCGTTTATCCTTCTCATGGCCGGCAGCTTCAGGCTTCCTCCTTTCCTTTACATGATCTGTTTCCCGAGTGGAACGTTCAGTTTGGCGACCCGAATCGGATGTTCTGGCAGCTTTTCGTTGCGATGGAGGAGCTGGGGACGACGATTCCCGTCGAGCGTGCTTTTTCACATCTGTGTCTTTATCACGAACCCTTCGAGGAGATTTCGTATCAGGCCTGCGGTTCTTGAGGGTTCTTAAATGGTTATCATATGCTCGTTTTAAAAGTTCATACTCTCTTTCCCAGTGATCTCCTTTACGTTCTCTTGATAATTCGTAATATGTTCGGCCACGGCGGTCAAGACGCGTGGGGTCAAATCCTCGTTGGTCTAGTAAGAGTTGAATAACCGCAGTGTTCCCTCTGCCGATTGCAGCGAGCATGGGAGTGTTATACCCCGGTTTATTGTGGTTACCAGTTAATAGCGGCTCCGGATCCGGGTCTGGATCGCCCATGCCCAACAGAATCCCCAAGACTTCGTCATGTCCACCTTTCGCAGCGGCAATTAGCGACTCGGGATCAGCTTTTTGTCCCACGTTAAGGATATTTGCCACACCAGCCATATCCCCCTTAGCAGCAAAATCTCGAAGATTTTCCGGAGTTGCTTTTGTCCATAACAAATCGTTCCTTGTTGCCTCACTCCTCACGGTTCTCCTACGAGCTCCTAGACTAGGTGGAGGAGGACTTCGCTGGCCATGAACCGGGGGAGAATCACGAGGACTGGCTGCCGATGCGCCCCGCGAATGAAGGATCCCTGCCGGAAGAAGTGGCGCGAACAGATTGATCTGCAGACTTTCGTCGTTGCCCCTTGGCTTTGGCTTCCGCTATGATTTTTCGCATTTCCTCGTAGTTCTGGCTATCGGACGGGACAAGGTCGTACGGTTCATCGCCCTCCGCATTACCGAGACGAGGATTGGCGCCCGCGTCCAAAAGCAATTTCACAACTTCCAAATGGCCGTTTTCCACAGCATCAATAAGGGGAGTATCTCTGTCAATATTCCTTGTGTCGATTTCACATCCTGCTTCGATTAGGAACTTAACGATATCTACACAGCCTTCAAGAGCAGCGATCTGAAGTGGCGTGTTCCCCGCGTTGTCAGAAATATTTAGATCCTCTGGGCGCTCAGCATGGCGCGCTTTCGCAGCCTCGACTTCCTGCATCGCACAGGCCCTTGCAAGTCTTGTCCGACCATTTTGATCTCGTTGTTTCTTTACCTGCATCTGTTTTGCGGGTGATATCGCGGCTTGCTCGCTAGAAGCTAGCTTGCGCAGACAAGCAGATGGTAAAGGAGATCCACTGGTGGAAGACGAAGTAGACTCTCGGTCCTCTGAAACTTGGCGGCGTGAATCTGTCGCAGGCGGCGGTCGCGCTCGTCTTCTCTTTTTGATATCAATAGATGAGTGCGATCCCGATGTAACTCTATGGTGTAAACGATAAGCTGGTGATGTGGAACGATGCTTAGATAAGTGTTGTGAATGCGACGTGTTTGATGTTTCGTCGGAAATTTTGTTGTGGGATGAATCTGATACATGTTGACGGTCGCCATGGCGGCGGGGCTCTCCTTCCTCCACACGAACCCCTTCACTTGACCAACGATTCGTCGACTGGCGGTTTTTGTTCCCCTCTAATCCATCGAAACGCGAGTGGGATAAACCACGTGTGGCAGACGTCTTTTCTGAGTCTCCAGTTTCCTTCTGTTTCGTGTACTTCGTTTCCCCTGGTGGAGATGAGGCTCGCGAAGTCTGTTCGCCAGGGTCACGCACTTTGAGAGATCTACCATCCACATTATCGCTTTCTACCCGCAGTCGCTTTCGTGGTTTTCCACTTTCGGGTAACGATGCGACTCCAAAGTCCCTCTCATCTTCAGCTCTCCCCAGGCTCCTATCGCGTTTGTGCTGTATGTACCTTCTCTTTTTCTCCGGCGATAGCTCCTCCCGCCCCGACTGGATGATGGTTTCCGCCTCTGAGTCCGCTTTTATGCTGACTGTATCGTCGCTACCACTACCACCACTCTCCCCCTCCTGTTTCTGCTTGTCAGAGGTAGGAGGCGCCTGTAATGGAATTTTGTTTTCGGCAAGCTTTAAGCTGGGTTCCACGTGGCGATCATTGTCACGATTGGTGGGAGGAACAGCTGGCAACGACAGTGCTGCATCAGCATCATTCATAGCGGCTGCAGTCGGGATATTTGTCTTCTCTGCCTCATCGTTAGTAGCCGTAGCTGCGGAATATGAGCGTTGGCCGGTGATCGAGAAGGACTCGATCACAGGTGTATTGGATGAGCCTAAGGCAAGATGCCGACAGCGCGACTATATTTTTTTTACTACAAGGTGGCGGGGCGAATATGTGGCACTTGATGTTTCGTGTTAGATGATAGCTCGTTGGGTAGCGGCGAAGAGTTGATGATTGGGATTGTAGTTTGGATAAGTTCTGGTCAAGATCGGGCGCAAGGCGTCCAGGTTCTGATAAAAGAAAGGCGGTGGGGAGCCAACATGCCGCTAGTCCTGTTTGGGTTTTCTGCCAATTTATACAGCTAAGAAGTGCTCACCATGTTTTACATTTCACTTCAAATCACCCCACATTCTATTTATATGAGATTGCCATGTATTCTGAATTGATATCTCTTTTTTCTCAAATATTTCATCTTTAATATTATAGGGAAAGAGGTGTATTCTTTCAGACTTTAAAACAATTATATATAGTTTATATTATCTCAGTAGCTAATTATAAAGTTTAAGTTTAATAAAATAATTAAAGAAATTTCAATGAACTCTTTCAAAGTCTGTAAAATAAAGCTTTGAGAAAAATTTTAAAAATATTTAAATCATTTTTTATTAAAGTAATAAAAATTAAAGCTTCAATTTATTTATCTGTTATTAAATTTAAAAAAGTCTGTATAAATTATACTTTAAGAGTTATAAAAATAAGTTTAAATTATATAATTAAAGATACAGTTTCTTCTTCTTTTTTATTAATTAACTTAAAAAATCTATGATTTGAAAAAATATATAGTTACTAAATAATAACACAGCTGCTTCTAAATATACTTAAAAATATAAGAAGTTCTAATAGTTATTAATTAATTTACATATAAAAAACTGATATATGTTTATAATTTTATGTAAGAATAAGCACTCGCAGGTAATTATTCAGATGTTTACAGCTTGATATAATATATACTAATAACTACTAGAAGTATTTGCAGTAGAAAGATAAATATAGAGATTAAATGTATAATAGTATTTAAGCAGAGTTATAAATAGAAGTCATAAACTTCAGTTTATATAGTTATATATAGTTAAGAGCTGCTAACTCTATTAATTATATAAGAGATAGAAATAGAGATAAAGAATCTATAAGAAGTAGAATTTCTTATATATTTTCTTCTCTTTAAAGCTTTATCTGCGAAGTCTTTCACTAAGTGATTATATAGAATCAGACTCAGTACTGTAGTAATACTTACTAAAAAATCTTTATATCTATAAAAAATCTCAGTGAGAAAAAATCTCTTATTATTATAAAGAGAAAAGAGTCTGTTACTTAGTTTCTTATTTTATAAAATTCTTTATAATCTATATATCTTTCTCTGACTATTGTATAAATTCATTTTATATCTTTTATTCAGAAGAGTTTTAGTTAACTTTTACTTATTTTTATAAAATTCTTTATAAGAGATCTACACTAAATAGATCAGTATTAAGATATATCTACACTAAATAGATCAGTATTAAGATATACATCTTATATAATAAAAGTGAAAAACATTAGAGAAGAAAAATAAAAGAGAAAGTATAAAAATCAGTGATTAAAGTGAATATTTATATATGTATAAAGTGAAGCTTCAGAGTAAAAGAATAGAAACTCTGTAAGTTTCTTAGCTAAGAATCAGTAATTAAAAATCAGAGCTTTCAGCAGAAATCTATAAAGTGTAATAAAATAATTTATTAATCAGATGTAGTCTGTTATATTAACTTCTTCTCTTTCAGAAGTAAGATTAGATTACAGATATATAGTTCTTATCAGTTAAGAGCTACTGTTTCAGATAATATAAAGCTTAAAGTTCAAATTAGATAATTATAACTGACTTATTTTATAAAATATTATCAGTCACAGCTGTGAGATCTCTTATTAAGAATATCTTTAATTTCTTATTTAAGTTTATTATCTTCTTCTATGATTTCTGATGATTATCAGTCAGAAGTCAGTTAAGAAGAGAATTATAACAGGCTGTGTCTGATCAATTATATTGACTATTCTGTTACACTTCACAGATTTCAACTGTTTCATTCTCGAACACGTACGCTACGCTCCGATTCTCGGCCATTCTCAATCACAGATCCTCGGCCGCTATGAACGCGTATAGATTCTTTCACTCTGAAGCTTCACAGTGTATGCCATCACATACATGTATAAATATTCACTTCAATTGCTGATTCTCTGTAACATGACAGAACTGAAGCGGTGACTAGTCAGTGATGTTATATAGAGATAGTTGTTTAAGAAGTTATATAAGTGAGCTTGACTATCTTGCTTGAATAGTGAGCTTATAGACTACAGAATTATTACAAGAATATCACAGATATGATACTTAATATACTAAGAAGATTATATAAGATACACAGTAACTCTTATATATATTTCAGTAGAAGAAAAAATAAATCACTGACTTCTTTTATAAGAAGTGAGTATCTAGCTATTCTATATAGATAATGAGTGAATACTCTTCTTCTATTTTATAAGTAAGAATAGTCAGAGTGATATCTCAGCAGTGTCTTACTATTAAGAAAAAGTAATTTACTGATCTTGTATAGAAGTAAAGTTCTTATATTTATTAATCAGATCTTTTTATGATATATCTGAATAATATTATAAAGTAATTGAAAATCAGTTCAGATAGAATGAAATCATCTGTATAAAAGTAATAGACTGTGTAAAACTGCAGTAGAGTCTTAATATAGCTGAGAGTGTAATAATACTCTTCTCTTTAAAAGTATAGTTTTAATACTCTTAAGATTACTGAATTAGAAATTATCTTTATTATATAGTAATAGTTATCAATTAATTGACAGTGTATATACTGTATATAATATAAAGAAATAGATGAGTTTTTCTATTAACTGTATAGATCTTTCTTTTCTCATCTTCATTTAAATTAAATATATGATAAGTGAGTTTCTTATATATTAATTTAAGATGTGAAAAATATAGTTAATAAGTGACTTACAGATCTCTTATTATATTTCATTCTTTGTATAAAATTCTTTACAAAGTGATATATTTTAAAGATAAAGTTAACAGTAGTGATAGAATTTTTTAAAAAGATCTCTTCTCTTTTATAACATATTTTTCTTTCTCTCTTTCATCTATAATAGTGAGTGCATGAGAGCATCATTTGTGAGAGATAATAAGAAGCTTATTCTGATATTTTCTAGTAAGTAAATATCTTTATGATGCAGCTGCAGTCTCTGTAACTGCTAAGAAAGTCAGGTTAAAGACAGAGATAACAGTATTAATAAGCTGTGAGAGTACTGCTTTTATTATCACATCTTCTTCTTCTTCTGCATCTCTTACAGCTGTGATGATGATAGCTATATCTTGCAGTAAGATGTTATCTCTTCTGTCAGTCAGTTTATCTATGTTCAGTTCATTCTCTGTCTCTCTCATCACTATTATAACACTGTTTCTCTCTTTAATTAACACAGTAATATATAACTCTGTGTAATCATTCAGAGAGAATCTCAGAAAGAGCTTGATTCTGAAAACAGCAGCTCTGAGAAGCTTAATTCATAGTTTCTCTTTCATAATATATCTAAGCTCTGTTTGAGATACTGTTAAATTAAGTCTACAGAATTCTGTAGTTTCTTTATCTTCTCTTTATAAGAAGGCTTCAGTACAGTCTCTGATCAGTACTATTACTTATCTACACTATATTAAACAGCTGAAGAAAAGAGAAATCTTATACATTTATCTCTTCTCTTACTCTCATTATTTCTGTTATATCTGTAATAATGACTTCTGTCTCTCTGTAAGTATTATCTACTCTATAAGAAGGTATTATATAAGCTCTGATAAGAAGCTCAGATACTTAAGTAGTACAGAGTGAGAGTCTCAAAGCTTTAAGTATTAATAAATTCTGTTAAGACTGAGAAGATCTCTCTTACTCATCTATAAAAGAAGATAAAAGTATGAATCTCTGAGATAAAAAAATATCTCAGAATAACTGATCTTAAGAAGAGATCAGTTAATATCACTGTTAAAAGTACTATAAAGATTAATCACTGATTGAAGAGAATTTCACTTCAGTTAAAGTAGATAACTGAGATACTTTATAAGTTAATAAGTTAATACTTTCAGTATCTCTTATACTCTTCTGCAGCATGCTTCTCTATAGTATTATAGTACTAACTTCTCAGTAGATAAAGATACTGATACTGAAGACTTTAACAGTGAAGAATGAATTTAATAAGAATATAATTATTAATAAGTAGACTCTGATCTCTCTCTTTTTACTTTTTCAGTGAGCTGCAGCTTTATTAGAATAGCAGTAGTCTGTAGATTAATAATATTAATCTTTATTAATTTTAAATATCTCTTTCTTTTCTTATTAATCACTTTAGAAATTTTACACTTGTATAGTTTTATTAAACTTCTAAAAAATTCTTTAAGAGAAAATAGAAGAAGAGTGCTACAGAGCTTATAAGATACTAACTTATCACTATGAGATTATCTCTAAAAAAATTCTTTAAGAAAAAATAAGAAGTTTTAAGTAGTATCTCTTACTTAATATCTTTAATATGTAATAGAACAGTCTCTACTAGCTATCTTATAGCTTATAATCTCTTTCTCAGTATTTTTCAAATGCTTAAGTGATTTTCATGAATTCTCTGATAATAAATAATCTTCTCATTTAATGAGATATTGAAGTTTATTATAATATATTCACTTATTCAATATTTTCTTTATAAGATATTCAGTATTACTTTTAATCTTAATATTATCTAACTAAGACAGCTTTACTCTGAGATATTACTTATAGAGCTTTAAATAGAAAATGTGAAAAATAGAATGAATTAATTTCAATTCTGTAAGTAATTTCAACTTATATATCTACTTACTTATTACTTTTATTACTGAGAAAGATTCTAGTCATCACTTACTGAGCTTCTTA